GTTTTTAACTATGACATTTTAAAGAAGTTCTTACCACTGAAAACTTACCTGTGAACATCAATCTGCTCCTTCAGGGCTGTGACCAGCAGATGCTGGTGGACATGTTGCTGAGGCTCAAGTCAATCATTTACCTACCTGGAGACTTTGTGGTGAAGAAAGTGAGTACATGCATGTGTGTCTGTATCTCTCAATGATAAACTTTTGCTGAGTTAAACTTACAAATTGCAGTAAATGAGAACAGTTCCGATGTCTGTGTTCCCATCCTGCAGGGTGACATCGGTAAAGAGATGTACATCATCAAAGGTGGAGCAGTGCAGGTGGTGGGAGGACCTGACAACAGCATTGTGTTTGTCACACTGAAGGCTGGCTGCGTGTTCGGAGAAATCAGGTTTGGGGTCAAACGTGTTAGTGGAAAGGATTACAACACTGTCATCAACCAACAATAGCACAGCTTGATATCAGTGAATGACGTGATAAAAACTCATACAAACATCGCAATATATTTGTTTCAGTTAACTGGGATGCAACCATATTTTTCAATTAAACAAAGCACCTTTACATGTCTTTCTTGAGATTGCATTTGTAATAATTATGAACAATGCAACACTCCTCTCGACAGCTTACTGCAGTCTGCTAAAGATGGAGGAAACAGGCGCACCGCTAACGTCAAAGCACACGGCTTCGCTAACCTTTTCGTCCTGGAGAAGAAGGACCTGTTTGACATCCTCGTCCACTACCCAGAGTCTCAGAAAGTGCTGGCCAGGAAGGGAAGGTGAGTCAATTCATCCTCCTAAAAAAACATATGAAAATGAATAAGCAGCTGATTATTGATTGTGTTTGTGACTGCAAAGGCAACTGCTCAAAGCCAAAGGTCCTGCAGCTGCTAAAACCAATGAGGAAAAGCAGAAAGGTCTCACTCTGTTTGGAACCAAACCGCAGACGCCCAAGTTGATCAAAGCGTTTGCCGACATGCGCAAAGGAGGCTTCCTGGACAAACTCAAGGTAAACTCAGCATACATGATCACCAGTCATATTTAGACTGGGTCAGCTTTGAACTTGGAACCGTGATATGATGTGGGTTTTTTGTCCTCTGTCCACAGAAAAATGCAGCAGAGCAGAAGTGAGAACAGGACGTTTGATGCCACAGATCTGCACTTTCTCAAATCTCCTTCATTCAGTAAGATCCACATTCAACCATTCAAAGTTCAAAGTGACAGAATTTCAAGCCAAAATGATTCTCGTTTTCATTTGATGCTCCTCAGCACAAATTAAACCAGGTTGCAGAAGTGAAACAGGACATCTGTAGTTAAACTAAAGATATTCACCTTCTTAACATTGGTTACTTGTCTTTAATAGAGATAG